TACACAGACTCTGCCCTCTGCTCCCTTTGTATTATTCCAAGAAATCCTCTACTCGTTTAACCTTTTAACCATTAGAGTACACAAAGTTCTCAACTTGTCAGCTGATAACAGCAGATGAGTTTATGGTTAGTTCTGGGAGAAAAAAACTCCCAAAACATGGTAAGTGGAAGGTTTTAAAACATTTATGTCCCTTTTCTGATGTGTTACATCACATTTCTGTCGTTTTGCTTTGTTCCTGGTCATTTGTAAAAGAGGAATATTTTTTCTTTATAATTTTTTCTTATTTTCTTTTATTTATTATTGATGTTATTTATGTATTTATTCATCTAATCATGTCTCTCTTTGTCCTGGTCTGTTTTTGTCTTTCATTGTATAGTTGGAAGCGCATAATGGTAATGGAAAAGGGTTGTATAAGAACCTTCCTATGTCCATACACAGACTTACTAATTAATTCATGTTGAAATATTAAAGAAGCGGAGGTGGGAGATGCATGTCAGAATGTACAGAAATTCCCAAAACAGACAAACCCAATTAAACCAAATTGATTTACCACTTAGTTTGCACTCGTGTTCGATTTGCAGTTTATAACTCAGCCATCCTAAGAACAACAATATCACTGGCTCGTCCTTGTTATGGCAGGGATTTATCTGTTTATTTATTTGTCAGAGAGAGCTTCGCAGATATTTGAAATGATTTGATGCAGATTATCCTGACCAAACCTGACTGACTTCATTATCCCCACAGTTGGATAGATTGAATGGACTCAGTGACATGCTGCAATACAAAGCCTTTGAGCTCAGCAATAGTCACTTTAAATACTGTACATTCACTAATCATTTGATATGTATTACGTCCTGTGTTCTGCAGTTATATAGCCATGTTTCCCATCACGCCCAGTAAATGTCTTGTTGTGCTAGTTGATCAGTGTGCGCTGGGATCTTTTTCTCTCTGGTGTTTTTGGAGTAAAAGTACATTTTTACATGATTTTAAGTGGCATATGAAATCTGCATTTTATCTCTATATAATAATAATAATAATAAATTTTATTTAAAAGTGCTTTTCTA